TTACCGCAAGGTTTCTTGCTCCCGGAAACATCATAATCCTACGTTTGAAATACTACTTTTTAGATCTGTTTCGTTGATAAAAATTATGAAAAATGATGTTTTAAGGTGCAAAAAAACCTCTAGTGCGTGGTCCAGCCGTACAAAGGTGAACCTTAAACCCCAAACCTGAAACTAGTGACGTGACTTCGTGACTACCGAAAACCACTATCTTATGGTCTCTTTTATCAGAAGAAAATACCTATTTGCTTGTCGTTATTTCCTCCCAGAACGATTATCTGTCCGCCGGTCTCCTAGATGTCAGTGTTGTGTTCATACAATCATATTAGTTTTGTATTTCGCTACGTTAGCTTTCATGAGAAATGGTGATTTACAGCTCAACAAATATAAAGTTCTTGTGTTTAGCATAACGGAAAAACAAAGCGTATAAATAAGGACTGAAAGTACGCATATCAGTTCAGATCAATTGTAGATTGAGAGACAAGCGGTACTGAATTTATAAAAGAAAAACACGACAACATGACAGACGCAGCAAAATATAATTAAAATAACTGAAAGAAGATCTTGAAAAATACCGACAGCTGCAAGGACGAAAGACAAACAGAACCAGAGTTGGCTGACCAAAAGAACTACAACACTGTATTTGTAAGTATGACTTTAGCTTTATCAACTCACAAAATACCCAAGTTTTTAAGTTCATTACTCTCTATGTTGAAATGGTCTTTTTGTTCCACTTAAACGGAAGACTCCACCGAGTCTTGATTTACTTCCGTAACGTTCGAATCTGCAACCGCTGCTCTAACTTCCGTCGCCTGCTCGACAGCCACAGGTTCACTAGATGAATGTTCTTGGTCACGTGTTTCGTCACGTGCCTGATTCGTAGTTATTTGTAGTGAGCTCTCATTTTCCTTGTTCTTAACAGAACTCATTTCTTTTTTCTTCGAAGATTGCTGTTCGCCTCTACTTGACATTGCCGATGGTGTCAGAAGTGGCGTTTTAGGAGATGACGAAGAGGCAAAGCCTACTTTCGAGTCAAAAATTTTCTCTAGAAGGTCCGCAGAAGACGAGCTTTTAGAATCCGTTCTAGCTTCAGAGGCCGCCGATTTAAAACTAAGTTCTGATTCCTGAAACTCCAGCACGTTTCCGTCAGACTCACAGTTCTCTGGGTAGTCATTGTCTGACTCTTCAATTCTCACATGTTCCGCGTAATCCGCACACTTTGCAAGGCCCTTCTGAGCCAGTAGATATCCAACAGACACTTGTTCAATACATCCATCACTTCTTGTTTTGTGTTCATACAAAATGACACTCGCCGGCGGACCACTAAACTAGAAATAAACAGTTTACCATATGTCAACCTACCAGAAGGTACTTACGGTCGCAACATTTTGTCCTTTGGGTCACCGCATGTAGAGTTTCGCTTTTATTGTCAAATTCATACAGGCGATACTAGGTTGACACCTTCAACAAGGAGACTGGACGGGAATTTAGTAAAAGGTATATGTGCACAGGAAACTGAATTCACAGTTGCCAAAATTGGTTCTAGCACCCTGCGACCATTGTACACAGCTAAGCTGGGGCTGGGATGAAATATACAGTTTACAATGTGTTAAGATCACATCGTTATGCACTTGGAGACACCGCAAGTTGAATTCTGCTTTTAAAGTCAAGGTCAATAGAGGCGATACTGAAATTGTGCGCGATACTGAGTTATGACTGACCGAACGAACCTTCCAACAAGAAAACTGGAAGGAACCTTAGCAAAGGGTAAAAGTAAACAGTAAGCACCTAGAACAGTTAATGATATAGACGCTATATAAATAAGGTTTATTATAGTTTATTATTATAGTAATTTCCTATTTGTTAGTAGCGGTTCTTGCATTGAAAAACACCCTCCAGACACTGTACTCAGCGAAAGTTAGGGCACCTTATTTTTCTAATGGAGTGTGTTGGACCGGCGTTTTCTTTTTTTTTTAATTAACTGATTCTCTGATTCAAAGAACTTTATTTAAGAGGAAGGTGGGGGGGGAGGCAGTTATCAGCGTGTTGGCGAACTCGCAGTCAGGCTCAGACCAATACCTGGATTTGTTTCTCAGTGGTCGCGAGTTTAATCTTCAATCACGCCTGCAAATCTCCAACTGGCTTTACACTTATGATATTTCAATTCATCATGGTAAGCGTGTTTGTTACGAGTGGAGTGGAGTTCGAGTAGACAAGTGCAATACTGTCCAACAACAAAAAGAAAAAGCATTTCGAATCCCACTTACCATCGTCTTCGCCACAAGTTTCTTGCCTGCTACTAACTGTATAAGCGCTTCCATGGTGTTCACAGGCCAACAACCATCCTCCGTCATTGGTCCCTCTGTGGTATCTGGAGGTCTGATGTCGGCCAGGAAGCAACGTGTAGACTGAGTAGGTAATTCCAGTAACTCGGAAGGAAAACCTCGCAACCTGCGCGTCAATTGACAGAATTCACCTATACATCATTTCCACTAATTGAATAAAGCTAAAATAATGCATGCTAATAAGAGAAGTTTTCTCAAGTGTTTTGAGAAGCTGAGCCGGGCCTGACTTTATAAAGCCAGGTGGGCTCGATTAGCCGAGACAATAATAAAGTGGAATGGTTATGAAGCCCGACAGACTTCTTTGTTATGTGTTTTTGTTAGCTTTTTTGGACCTAACCGTGCACAATAGCATTGCTATCATTTTGAACTTACTGACCAATAAAAACATCGCATTGATTTATTCAGTCACAATTTGTGAACTAAAAACAACGGATAGTGCACGGTTAGGGAGCTTCAGACGTAAACTATAGCACCATTGTTTTCAACTTTCATGTTTGCCGGCTTTCCTAACAAGTCTCCTCTTCTAACTATGGCCGAGATGACTTTATTCTGATACAGTAGAAGCTCCATGTAAGACCACCAAAGCTTAAACATGTTTAAAAGCTGTTTGGTTAAACATGGTATAAATTTGTTTTCTTTATAAAAGCTGCTTACTGTACTTTTATCAATTGAAAATTTAGTGCAGTTAGGTAGCTTGTCCAAGTTCTCTTGAATAGGCCATTTTCACGATGGCGTCATTTTACTACCACGACCAGAATTCTTTTCGTTTTTCTTTTAATATTTAAATTTGGTGGCCCCAGTGAGGTTTAAATAACAAAAGCCCTAATTTGCACAAGAAAGCAAAACCCTGAAGGATCCTGGTCATAGTAATAAAATGACGCCTTCATGCAAATGACCTATTCTGCGTAAAAGTTGTAAAAGCCTGTGTTCTAGTTTTCCGTTAAGGTTTTCCATTTCTTAAATCCCTGTTTAATAAAAAAATGTTTAGTAAGTGTGAAAAGGGGCGACCACCTTTCCAAACCACCGGCAAAACTTTCCCAGTCAAAACCCTATAACTGGAACCTCTCGTAAACGACCACCTCTCTCATAAGTGATCGCTAGGACGTATTAGCTTGATGGTTGAATAGTTTTCCATTGTTCTTATCCTCTCGTTAGCGACCACTAGACGCATGGTTACTCATTTTGTGGTATCTATGTTCGCCATATGTATACTTTGCCACTCAGAGTATACAAAGAAATTTCAGAAACAACATGGAACCACACGTATACGTAACTTAAAAATTGCATGCAATAACTTTCTCTGCCAAAACGGAAGATGTATACCGGAAAAGACCATCTTTAGTTAAATTCTCGTAAGCAACTCTAAATCGTCACATTTTGGGTGGTCGCTTTACGGGAGGTTGGGCTGTATTACATGAAGCAGGCCAGCCCGGATCCGCAATGTTTATAGCACAGAGAGATTGGAAGCAGTGCACACGAGTATTGTGTTACCCGCTGTCCTGTTGCTCGCTTGGCCCGCCCGGCTGGCGCGACAATTTGCAGCCTGGTTATCTAGGATCCCGGTATCACAATACCGGGATCCCAGCTAATTGAGATGGTTCGGTTGTCAAGTTGAATTTGCTGCATTTAACTAAATTGCTGAGATCACGGCAGAGCAAGCCAGCCTGGCTTACGCAATCAAGGCCCATGGATCCTTTTGATTACCGCCCCTCTCAAGCCTTACCGCTCATTTCTGTGACACACCCCGTAGTGCTTTAGACGTTCATACCAGGTACAGGGACACAAGCATTCCCGACTAGAGTCTTACAGTCAAACCGGGAAAACCGTGAACACCAAAAATATTTCTGGAATGTTATTGTGTTGCAAGAAAGAAGCCAATCAGGCGTGAGAAAACTAAACCGCAAGCAAAAACGTTAATCAGTAGTTTGTGGTTTTGTGGCTAGTCCGCGTGTGCTGATCTTTGCAGTGATTGGTCATGACAAAATAAACATTCCTGAGATGTTTCAAGTGTTCACGGGTTTCCGGGTCGCCCTATAGTAGATCTGAGTGAGGTGATTAAAATTCAAAGAATCAAAGGCAATTGTGAAGCACTTCACCTGTCGGCATTGACCACTTCTGTAGTGCCATAATCCACGTACACAACCCGCACTTCAAGAGGGTTTTGACGCTGCACTGATTTGACCTGAGCACGGTACCATAAGTCATCCTCAGAGTAACGCGCGCAGCATAACATGCCTGCAGTAAAGCATTATAGGAGTGCAATGCGTACAAAAAATGTAGATACCCTGTAATCGCCCAATTCTGGATTAAGATATGGGAAGAAGGGAAGCCAAAGGTGGAAAGAGCGAGAGCTCAAAAAGGCTTTTAATAAAATATTTTCGGCATGAAGATTAGTGCTAGTTGACGAGTGGCACCGTTCTCGTTCTCCATTTTGTAGACCAGGAGTTCAATTTCTCGCAGTGATGGTGTGTCCCATCTTCTTCTTTTGCCGACATTGTTGTTATTACGTTAAACTATGTTTTTTAAGCATCCATGATTCAGCTTTTGTCTTCCAAAGCCCCATTACTCTAGCCAAAGTCACTCTATACGAGCATCTTGTCAAAAATACATTTTCCTAGGCATTTTCTTTAAGAATTTCCGTCGGCAACTTTTTGAAATTTACTTCGGACACAAAGCCCACTTACCTTCACTGGCAGTGGTAAGCGGAGTGTATTTCTTGAAGTAATCTGGCTCATTAATCTTCGCCATGATCTCTTCCAGGCTTTGCAGCTCCTCAGCTGCAGCCTCTAGGGTGGGGTCGGGATCATCTGAGAAACCCGGGTCTTTGTCTGTTGGCGGAACCCGCTGGATGTACAGACAGTCAGGTCGTTCTATATGAGTAATAGTGACGTCATACCGGATGTCATCCAAAGGGAGGTTTGTTCGTGCCAGCATGCATTCAGCTTCCCGCGAACCAATCTTTTGCGTGTGGGCCCTGCAACGTACATCAGCATTAAGATTGCCGTGTCTCAGTGCTAGCGACAAGTACAACCCTTTGCGTGTAAACTGAATACAGAAAACATTTGGCTCTAGGATGATCCACCTTCTAGGATCTTCTTGGTCTAAGGATCTTACTCCCTCCATGCAAACAGTCCCTAAGCCACTGCTTTTAGTCGCAGAATTGATTACAATGCATTCCTAAGGAGGACGTTTGAAAGCGTGAACCAACCTGGTTTCAGTAATTGAACGTTTAGACTTGACAGCCTTGGCCTTATTAGGTCCTCTCTTTTGGGGGTAAAACTGGGGTGGTTCTTCATCATTAAGTAAAACAGACTTCTTTACCAGGCCCCTACTCAACAGAGTCTGCGCCATCTCAGAGTCATCAGAGAAAAATAGTCTCACCACCAGAGGATAGCCGGGCAGTTTGTCACCCTGATGATGCAAATATGATATGGAGTTAGCAATAGGATACCACAACAGCAACGGCGACGAAAACGTCCTTTGTCAACTCATTAATAATTCATAAAGAAAATACAAAGGAAATTTACATGTTTAATGAGTGTTTGGAAATCAGATGAAAAACTGCTCATTTTTGCATCCTTAATTTCTCCTTCTAAAATCAGTTCGTTTGAGAAGTAATATCAAGCATTTGACACAGTGATTCATCACCAGATGAAACACCTCGAAGTTCGTCAAAAATACTCCACTGCGTGCTGTATTTTCAACTCTCTTCTCAGTATTTCATCTGGTGATGAAACACTGCGTCTCATGCTTGATATATTAGTTGAAAAGTGACTTCGCGTTCTTTGAAACTTAAACGCCATCATTCCAACTGGCTCACTTCGTCAAATGTAGGCGAACTCTCCTGGAGTTATATTGCAAAAAATCAATTGAATATCAAAAATTGGATATCTAAATTCATCAAAAGAAAGAGAAATTCGTCATCTTTTGCCCACGTTCTCCATAAAACAAGAAATTTTACGTCGTAGTCGTGTAGTGACGACAAAGAAATGTACCAAAAAGTGCGCTGCACGTGCAAAGTTGTCGTTTTGCTAATCTAAAACTACTGCTCTGTTTGTTTGTTTGTTTGACGTTCTTGTTTCCGTCGCCAACGTGACATCTTAAACTTCCCAGAATAAAGTAAAAAGGGAAAGGAAATCAGAAGTGTTTCAACAACAACAACAACAACAACAACATCTTTATTTCTAACATTAAATATACAAATATCACATTTTTTTGCATTGATATCCTAGTAACAGCTCTTCGGAGTCAAATTCAGATGGTCCAGAGACATACCTTGATGACAGCAATGCAGTCTTGACCGACAATTTCTTGAGATAGTTCTCGGATGGTATCAGCAGGCCAGTGTCCATCACTGGTTTTCTACGAGGTAAAAACAAGTGCATTGAAAACGGGGTTATAAGTTTCCTGTTAAAATTTCCGCGCGATTGCTTTGGTTTGAGATGCAATGGGACTAGCTGAAAAATCTCGCACCGATTTCTCAGACTATCATACATCACACTCACCATCTGTCTTCTCATTGGCAAATAGCCTACAGTTAATTTTAGAAATCAGCACAATCAACAGATAAATTAGTTATCTGCTACCAGATTACTGACTAGTCTGTGGGTTGCGCGCGCGCACAAGGCACCATTTCCAAGAGCAAGGTCAAAATGCGTTCCATGGGATGCTGTGTTTGTCATTATTTTCTTCAAAACAAGGATGTATAATAACACAGTTACAATTAGTTATTCGTTTTTTGTGATATCCGTAATAATGAAGGTCTTAGTGAGTGAAAAACGCCTTGGTCTTGATTATCCTGGACATCACAAAAACCTCATCCAATAATTGTTTAAAGCCTGAGGAAAAGCAAAAGCCGACAGTGACTTGCTCAAGCTCATACTTTTGCGCTTTAAACAAAAAACCTGGTGAGCTTTCTTCCGGTTCTGTTTCCTTTCGGGAACTGACTCCATCTGTAACGATTGGTCAGAGTGTAAATTGTGGTTTTTAGACATTCCACTGATCATGAAAACAGCGCCGAGGCATTATGATCACCACGCTCCAGCCCCTTTCTAAAAGCGTCACCTTTAAGAAAGTCTGTCTTCTTACTAAAATTCCGTTTACAAAACGGCGTCCTAAGTCAAGGTGTTTAATTTCGTACCTATCTAGAGTGATGTTTGTTCAGTCAGTGACACAGGCAACTGGGAAAAAAACAGCGACTGGTCCCAACAGGGGGTGAACTGAGAACCTGTATAGTAACTAGTCAAGATTCTCTACCAATGAGCAACAGGAGACTTGTGGTAACAAAAGCCTATTAGACCCATTCGACAAACTGCCTTCAAAGGAGACTTTAAAATGAGACTTGTTAATCAAACGGTACATTCAGCAAAAACACATCAAGAGAATATTAAACCAGAAGATCACACACAAGACTAGTGGGGGAGGTTGACAAGGAATTTGTAGGCTTACAGGTTCAATCCCACGCAGAACAAGCTGAAGGCACTGCTGTGGAATCTCCATAAAAGGCATTTCTTGTCTTATCGCCGACAGCGGCACAACTTCTGAATTTCCAAAGTCAACGTTGCATATGTCTCGTATTAGCGGAATTATTGCATTTCAAACGAAAAAGTCGAATCTCGAGCGCGATTTACGCAAAGAAACTGACATAAAATGAGTTACAAAGGGAAATCGGAAAATTTCGAGACATATGCAAATTTCCTCACACCCTTTTTTAGGTCTTTTATCTGTCAATCAGATGCAATAAAAAGGAAGTGAATATTTAACAACGCGAAAGGGCTGGAGCTTCAGCAGTAAACTCGATACCTCTGAGTTCGAGAGCAAAAAACTTACGCTCCTTTTAAAATTCGATGAAATAAAATCTTTTATAAGGTAATTTAGTCTTTTAGCTTTAATTTGATATATAACTTGCCTTTGTAGCGAAAATACTCGCGCGACTAGGATTTTTTTCTGTGGGCACCTCGTTTTCCTTTACCGAGACCTTAAGATCACAATTCAGAACGTTATAAAGACCCAGCGACATACTGAATATCGTGCCGAACGTTGCACTGCCTTTAAACAGAGGTAATTCGACCGAAGGGCCGGCTGGTTTCTTTGCCAAATCATTAAAAGTTTGGGGGCTGACAGAAAAAGAACAAACGTTATATACGGACTGTTCTCCTATCCTGTCATTCTTAAAAATAGAAACGTCGACTTGAAGAGCCCCAAGTGGGAGGGCTGATGGCGAGTTTGCGCCCGTCAAAGCAACCTACGATAAATTAAACAGGGGCACCCAACGATGGCTTCCTACTAAATACATTGACAACACTTTTAAGGCTATCCAGAGTACTTTAAGCTATCTAGAAATGCATTCTAAGCGGAGCTATAAAAGTTGTATCTGTTCGGTCATCCTAGGAGAACTTGAGTCTTTTCGAAATTACCAGGGTTTGAGAGTTATTTTTCCGAAAAGTTTAGGTGGAATTTGACGTATAACGAAAGTGAGACATTTTCTGATTCTTAGCGCCATCACATTTTTGACAGCGAAAATTTAGGTTCCTTTTTTTTCTACAAAAAATAGCCTAACTTGGGAAGTAAAATGTAAAAAATTAAGCTTCAGAAAATCGTAGGGAATTTATACCATATGCTTCGATAATTGTACATGAATGGAACGGTCATCTCGAAATTTTTAGCCGTCCTAATTCTAGGCAATATCTGCTTCTCCGAACAGATATTTCACAGAAACAGTCATTGGCTGTGACAGAGGTTGTCACATGCCAATCAAGATAAAGTTAGTAATTAATGCTAAATGCTACCCAAGAAAGCGGAAGCCTTAAATGAGAACTTCTTATAAACACGTAAAAGCCCAGGGAAAAACATGTTCGTTCGCTAGAAGCTAAAACTGCGGCCGGTATAATATGATTAATTTTCTAGTTTTCTGGTCCATCGCTGCTACAATTTTTGCAGACGAAGAAAATTTTCGATCATCCTATTTAATAACCAGGGAAAAAAAGTGGTTGGAAGGACGTACAGTCAAGAAAGTCGACTCAACTAGTTTCATGTTATGCAGTCAAGCATGTTTAAGGCACTCATGGTGCACCTCTACTAACTTCATCGAGTCCTTTGGGAAGAGCGGTACTGAGAGCAATTGTGAACTGCAAATGCACGAGTTCTTCTCAATAAATGATGACACCACGCTTATTGATCAACCTGGCGCAACGTTTTCAATGTTTCTTAAGGTAAGGCAACTAGCATCATTTGCTTAAGTAAGAAGTAAAACATTAATACAGCTCTCTTGAGTATATTTAAGGAGAATGTAAGACCTAGAGTTGTTAGTTTTGTTTAGCGATGGGTCTGTGAATGAGCTCATCTCAAAGACCAGATTTCCTACAAAAGTCAACTGAATGATAGTTTTTTTTCTCTAATTTATTCTTAAAATTGCTCCGATAAGAAGTATCATCATATCCACGTTGCCTTGACTCCAATAGGAGTACGTGTTGCACCTGTTTAAATTGTAAGAAATGTGGCTAAGATGCACAAGAAATAAATTTATGACGAGTGCAATACAATTGAAACTTAGAGTAAAAAGGGAGACAGCTGACAGCATATCTACATTAAAAAAAGACATCTGCGTAATTAAAGTCTGAGTTGTAGGCGTAAAATACTTCCTACTTCAGGGTCTCAGCTTGTGAGGATGGGCGGAAAGGAAAGCGACCGCGGAAAAAGAATGAAAGGAAGACTGCCGAAAACGACTTTGAACTTGCCTATTTCGTCTTATCGCTATGGAAGCTTATTGCTTTCAGGAGCTGTAATGCTAACTGCATACCACCTGCAGGCAATTTGAGAACTCCTAAATCAAGCGCGCTTATCACGCAAGACGTCTCATCAACGACGTTTATAAAGGGACACTGTTTATACTTTAAAAGTGTCATAAGGAGCCGCATAAAGTCCCTTTACTAATTACGCTGAGTGACGGTTGCTATGCTCAATTTCCTGTTATAATTTTACCTCCGATCTCGTGCAGGCTAGCAGGGGTCAGACTGGCTGTCATCGATAGGGATTTTCACAGAGGCGATGAAACAATCCTAAATTTCGCAACTGTCTGGTAATATGGTTAAAACAGTATTAGCCGGGGTAAATATAGTCGAGCGCGGTCTATTCAACTATTCTCCGGATCGGATCATCCCAATCAAGCCATCATTGTATGGAGTATATGTGAATTCTTTTTTAGGGCATCCCGGTCGAGAATTTCTGTGTTGATTCAAACTCATTTCCCTTAGAAGCTTGTTGGTATTTGAAAGAAAATTTTAACAGATCGAACAGGTTAGCAGAGTTCCAAACTGAGATGGCCAGCCTTCCTTCGTCACATTGGTTCACTTTCAGAAGCGAGGCCATTTCAGCCTTAAATCAGTAGGTTTACCTTGCGACACATTAATTCTGTTTTTTTTTATGACTTGCTTAATATTCGTTAGACACCTTGAAAGTAAGGACAATGTTCGATTTTTTTCCTTTAATTTATTTATTTCTGCCTCGAATGTATCCGCGCCAAAACCTCCTAAATGCCCGCCAAATTTCATGTGGCGCGCTCGGGAGTGATCGTACAGTGTTTAGGAAGAAACAGGCCCAGCAAACTTCCACTGGAGGCTCTTTTGTGTTACTGCAAGAAGTACCCTTATAAAGAAGTCGAAAAGCTTTTCTATTATTAATTTCGTGCTACATTTTCTGGATAAACAATGGAATGTGTTGAAAATTGTAGACATCCGTGTTTCATAATACACGTACACACTTAGCGGCCAAATTGCTACATATTTTATCTTTTTACCGCTGTTTTGCTTGTTGCCGAAGTTTAAATGCTACATCATGATCCAGTGCGATTTATTGTTGTCGTTACACGCTCAGATCTTTAATTTGTTTGAATTAATGAGAAAATTATCTTGTAGTCTGTAATTATGCGTAGTATTGCATTGTTGAATGCGTTCACTGCCTATGAAAACAATCGTTTTCCTAGTAGTATATCGGATAGGCCAACTGACTCCCACTGGTGGCAAATTGTGCTACAAAACCATAAATAAGGGATATTTGAAGTATAAACCTCACAAAAGCTTTTGATTTTGATCAACAACGAAATGAGTGACTAAAACGCGTTAAAAATAACACATGCTCGTGTTGCAGAGAGGGGGTTGAGTGTTGCTCGTTATTTGTAAGTCTCTGAATCTTAGCAGCTTTCTTTTTCTTTTGTATAATTTTTACCGGGGAATCGAAATGAATTTTAGTTGATTGGTTGCGTCCATCGCGGTTCCCCCCTATTTGTTTTTCAAAAAAAAAAACACCATTGCAAGAACCTGTACGGTCTCTATTATTTTTCATTAACAGCCAGAGAGCTTTAATTCACCGAAACTAACACAGATTCATAAAATGTACATGGTTCAGGGTATTCTGTACGTGCCTTTTATGTTGGGTGTGTCGCCTGATTAAAAGCGAGCGATCGGGTGAGTCGCCTTCGCTTAGTGCAAGAAGACTTTGGAAAACGTGTATATTTAATGAATCTTTCTGTAAAGAACGAGGCGGCCTAGAAAGCTTGAAAAATAGTTTTTGAAACGTCTTGCCAAATATGTTTTTATTTTGTTTGGGGATTGCTAAAATTCCGTTTCAACTAGACGCTGTAAAATTCGCAATTGAACTTATTCTTCGGATTCAAAACAATGACCAAAGTTCCGTCTGCACGTGCTCTTTTGGGTGAGTCGCCTGAAAAAGCAAGCGATCGGGTGTGTCGCCATCGCTTAGTGCAAGGGAACTTGGTTTTTATTCGTTATGGCTCGCAAGTCCGTTTTGAACGAAATAAATGGTTTCAGTCATAATTAATGAACATCATATAGGTGACCTTACAAGTTTGTATTATAAGAAAAATATAAGAGCCTTTTTTACGCCGCGAACAGGATGAAATAGAAAACTTCACCGGCCTTTTCTCAAAAAAAGGGAATAGTCCCGCTTTAAATTCTGCTCCCCAGAAAAAGCTACAATGAAAATTATTTAAAGTTATAGTTTAAATTCAATCAAATTAATTTAAATCGCTGCACTTCGTTCATTTGTGGTAAATAAATGCATATTGATTCTGAGGTATCCCCGGTTAGATAATTTGTGCAAAACTCCTCTACACCGCCACAAGTTTTCCGAGTGGTGCGCTGTTTCGGAGTGGTTTTTATTTCACCAGGTTCTTTTCTTTAGTTGTGTTCGTCTCATCAGCTCAGCTTTATTATTTCTGTAGTGTCTGCTAAAATGATCCATTGAAAGATATGTCGAATAAAGCTTCAGTAGGAGGTCACGAAAGGAGATTCGCATTTCACCTCAAGTATGGTTTCAAGCTGTCAACGGTCTATGCTTGGCTGAATTTAAACAATGGCTTCCTGGTCAGATGGGGGACAAATTTTCCCCCATATTTCGGTCGCTAAGGCTTGCGGCTCGCCATATCCAGGCGCTGCCGCTGGTTTACAAAAACAAGAGCTTTCTTTCACCGCGGCAAAACCATAGAAATTTGCTAAAGTTTGGCAAAGCACTTCAAAGCTAAGCTTAAGACGTTCTCTGTTCAAAGGTAAACATGTTAATTTATAAAAGGTTTTGGAAGCTTTACTAACTGCCGAAAACATTTTTTTACTATGGCGCGAAGACAAAAACGATAAAAAGCCAGGAGCCCATAACCCTGAAAAAGCCCGTTATTTTAAGCCAAAGGAAAAGAGTGGACAGGCCTTCCCGCCGCCCTACCTTCCGCCAGTCTTCGCCAGCTTAATTTTCTTGCTTTTTTTTTTCGCTCGTCCCGACAAATGTTTAAGTGTACACAGGCCAGACGGGAAAAAAACATATCAGTGATTTATGGTAACACGTCAGTGTTACATTTTCTTCAGGGCTGCCTACTGACAGGATGCCTTAATGGCGGTTCTTGCGTCTTCAACGAAGAAAAAGAGACGTTTGCTTGCGCATGTAAAGGGCCATGGAGTGGAGAAAAATGCGAACTGGGTAAGACTGTAGTTCTCCTTCTTCTTGCTTTTCTGTTATGAACAAAAGAAAATCTGAGCCCCGGAGATTTTACGACAGTTTGAAGAGTTTAAAACTTACAAAATGTACAAGTTTTGCATGGAAAACCACTCAGCCCTGACCGAGTGGCAAGAGTTGTTTTTCCCATACAAATCCTTCTTATTTTAAGCGGCCGTTGCAATCGCTACTTTCGAGCAGTTCCTGGTAAAATCCTTTTTTTCCAAAAGAATTGTTTTCATGTTCACACAAACAGACTGTGGAAATTTCTTTCAGATAACTGGAAGAAGATCAACACTGTCCCAGTCTGCTTTGGAGCTCGTAATGACTCGTATGGAACCTTCCACATCACAGAGAGTGGCCTCATCAATACGTTTAAACTGGTTCATATCAACGGGTCAGTTTTATGTTCAGAACATGTTCTACCGTCCTATTGGGGATGCAACCATACAAATTACGGGAACACGACACTGCTTACCGTAATAACGTTCCAGAACAGGACAGCCCTTTGGCTCGCGGATTACAAAATGGGCGAGCCACATATATGTAAATACTCATACGGGATCAAAGGGACAGGTGTAAACGCGACCCAACTCGTGTTTAACGAGCTTCCATCTCCAATATCTGCGTTTGTTGGACAGGAGTTCCAAATTTGGTTTGGACAGGACCTTGCGAATTGTACAGAGGACAATAACAGCGGTCAGACTTGTGTTGATGTTTATGCATTGTACGCGTCTACACGCTAAACCATGCTTCTCGGCTTTTCTTAAATAATAGTTATATTCCTTGGGAAGCCAGTTAGTTTTGTTTTCCCGCGAGTCCTGATGTCTGATTCTCGGGAAAACAAAACTAACTGTTTCCCTCGGGATCTGACGTTAAGGGTATATAATTCACGTTTCAGTAACGTTATTACAAGTGTAACCCCGAAGCCAAAAACGGCAGAGTTTTAAAACGCGTACTGAAATTATTGATAAAAATTTGAGGCAGACCAAATCTCGGTAGTTTGTTGAGGCCTCCTCGCCTAAAGACGCGCAGCTTTAAATACCTTGCTAATAATTATATAAGGCAAATACTTTTGAAGTATTTTAAGTTTCTGCAAGTAACCATTTAAATTAAAAAGCAGTAATAGTATTCAAACTCACTGCCATCAAAAGAGGTTTATCTCCTGTCAATGTAGTTCACATAGTTTTCTTTATTTAACTTTTATATCATTATTCTATATATTAATATATCAGTATTTGTTTATTTATTGTTTGCTTTTATTTTTGGTGTGATATCTTAACAATTTTACCGACCCAGTACAAGTAAATGTAAATGTAGTTACTGTTGCCATTAGTATCCGTCAAAGTCGTTTTTTGTGTCCTCACGCAACGCTTCTTCCCACAAAACAGCTGCTGGTTGTGGCGAGGAAAATTGCGTTACGATACAAAGTAACAGCAGACTATGTTGCCACTCAATCGGTTCCATACAACACGGAGCGACTTGAAATCCAAGACGTTTTGGAAGCGGATTTGTTCAATTTAAAACGCAATTGCAGTGCCGTAGCCAGACCAAACGGCCAACCGAGGCAGGCGGGAGTTGCTAGGGGGGTTCGGGGGCATGCCCCCCCGAGAAATTTTGAACTTTAGTCTCTCGGAAATGCGATTTGCAGCGTTTTCTGGGCCTTTCGGTAACTTTTTTTCGAGTTAATTTAAGTGGAATTTAAAAAGCAATAATCAGAAACAAGCTACATAATCTGGGTGACCGTTACCCTCGCCAATGGTTTTGATCAGTATTTGTTAAAAAAAAAATTGAGTTAACGTACGTAGCCCCTTGAGATCGATGATATGGTAATTTTTTCATAGTATATTGACTGAATTGCTGAATTCTTTGTAATATCATGATGCGTTAAAAATATCCGATGATCGCTTATGTAAAATAAAAATGATCGGCGAAATTCGTCAAAATTTTACCGAGGCGAGTGCCTCGGTTGGCCTCATACTAGCTACGGCGCTGAAATGAGATAAAATGAAACCTTTCAAATGCACGTATCAGCCATCACAACAACTCGGATTTATTGAATGAATAAGTAACGATTGAGCACTAACACGGCCAAAAAATGGTTCTCCGTCTACCACTCCGGATGGAATTTAAATTAAAGAAAAGGGCTGCATGGTTTATAAAATAGAGGGGAAAACCCGAGTGCTAGAAGAGAAAACCCTCTTGGAGCAAACCAAGAGAGCCAGAACAAACTTAACTGACCCACAATTGGCATCGATGCCGGGATTGGTACCCAAGCCACGCTGCTCGCAGGCCAGTGCTCTCCGGCAGCAGAGCGTCATTCTGCTCCCCATATTGTGTTTGGTTGCGTAATGTGGTATCGGATTTTCACAGTAAATCTGGCGATTACTTTGGGATCTGAAGGACTAGGCAACGGGCTGCAACACCCTTGTTGCTGCTTTATGACACAGAAACTCAACTAAGCCGCGGTGCATGGATGATTTTCGCTAAATTCTAAATAATACCTTCAGGTCTTGAAGCAGGTGAAGTGAATCTAGCAACTTCCAAGAAAACAAGAGCATCACGGACAGACACCGGTCTGTCATCATCTTGAGTCGGCTCGTCGTCCTCTGGGCGGCGTAAATCAACAATCAGTTTACTGCCTTACTTTTCAATGACCTAAAAATATATTACTGCGTTTTGTTATATTCCTAGACTTTCACTCAACTAAACAGGGACCACCATTGGTCGATTGTTGGTCACGTGGCCTTGACTAAAATCAAATGTATCCCGATCGTGATACATTAACCCATTCGCCCCTGAACCGCCCGTAAACGCCCGTGCGGATCCAGGTCCTTTCTACCCTTTGTGACGTCATCAGTTTTAACGGTCAAGGACAACTTTCTTCGCTATCTTGTGCAGAGTGAAGAGATCTTTCAAACCATACCAGAATGAGCACAATTCAGTCAAGGACACGGAGAAAGAAGCAAAAAAACACGTGACATTGACCTGAAAATCTCCATGAAAATCTTGTTCCATTACCCACCTACCTTTCCTTTCTCCTAATCCTAACATCCTAAAAGCTTTCCTAAAAACTCTTCCCACCAAAATAAAGCCTACTAAATGCCCAGCAAGAGAAAAAAAAAATGAGGCAAGAAAAGCGAAAAAAGAAGGGAGGAGAGAAAGCGAAAAGTAAAAGTCAAGACAAATTTTGCTTTCTGCGCATGCCCGAACTTCGCAAGCTGATATTTTGCATCTGGATCAGAAGGCCGCGAAGTGTACGACCTGTAAACCGGTTTGTGGTAAGTTTTAGCTCTTTATAGCACGACAGTGACCAGAAAACCACTCGACTAGCTTCAAAACGCGTTTTTCGGCAAAATCTCTAGGAGCGAATGGGTTAAAGGGACTGGTTCACGATAATGCGCATGTGTGAGTTCTGACAATAGCTGATTGTTTTTCAACCAATCGGAAGCGAGTTAGATGCACGCAAGTAAATTTACAAAATTCAAATTAATTGTTCGCGACGCCAGAGTATTTCCGGGCATTTGGTTTGATTTTATTTATCCCCATAATTCAATTTTATTCTTTGCTACTCCTCAGATATATGTTGCAGCCGATAAGAATAAGATTTACAGCCCTGTCCTGCTTTGAAACAGACATTTACCAACGTGTATTTTTACGAGGTCGTACCCACGCTAACAAAACAGTCACCGATCGGCAAACAAAATTTGTAAACAAACATCTTATTACTGTTCTCTCAGTTCGCCTTATATAAACCCAGAAATACCTACAAATAGCGCCGGACCGGTGACAAAAACACACAACGTATGAGTATAAAGATTATCCTTAATTGAGCATAAATTTCAATTGCTTATCAGCAAATGAACAAATTCATTCGCGTTGCACCGGGTCAGTGTCACGCAAAACAAATGTTATCGAGTAGCACACATAAAGAAACTAGATTATGAACAGAATATTCAGGCAATAATTTATTTTAAAAACATCAATTCTTAAACATATACGATCGTAAAGCAAAGATACAAGGAACATTTCAAGTCTACCAGATCGGTGAAGATCGCGCGGCCTGTTGCGGTATAACTACAGGTCGGAGTCAAAAATCAAATCAAAGTTGAACGAACTCATGCCTTTAACCACTTTCCAAGTGTCGTGTATTCTTTTCGTATGCCACACACTACTCCTAGAACCATACCAGATCGATAGGCTAAGCTTCTCTATCTCCAGAGACTCTTGAGAACGTCCTGTTGCCGGACGGCCACGATGCTCTTCTCAACCTCCATAATCAAAACATTATTTTTTGCGTCTTCTTAAAACGTAACCAGTCAAACGACACAACTACACGTTAATCACCACTACCGGAGTATAACTAGACCAGCCAAAGCGACGGATGTCCGAATAAAACGAAGGATTTTCATTGATTGTACCGGTAATGGCGATTTCGAATTTAGTGTTGACCCAACAAATATATTCTGAAGAGACAAACGGCGCGCATGCGCATTATCGTGAACCAGTCCCTTTAAGCAATGTAAAGAATAGTGGAAAGTGGAAAGTGGCGTGACAAAAGGCGGGAAAAACACTGCCAGGTCCTGCCGGCCAGTTTTCTTTTACGTGAATGAATACAACAACACAAACACGAATCCTCAAGCTAAAAAGCAACGATTTTGAAAGTTATCCAAGAAGTTCCCAGAAGAAAAACAGCAGCTAGTGGAGGAAAATGATGCAGATAATATAAGGAAGGTACTCAGTGGTTTTAAGAATTAAAGAGTGGACTGTTTTGGTTCGCTCCGGTTATTCTTTTGTTGCTGCTGAAGTGAAAACCTAGAAATATAACAAAACACTTAATGTCAAGTCCCTTGGGAAACCAGTTAATTTTGTTTTCCTCGAGTCCTGATGTTTGATTCTCGGGAAAACAAACCTGTTTCCCTCGGGATCTGACATTAATATAAGTGTATATAACTCATTTTTCTGGGGAGCTCTTTTTAAAAGATAGCAAATGGCGTGACGTTTCGGTAACGTTATTACAAGTGTAACCCCGAAGCAAAGGAGTTGATTCCAACATTGGGACACGCTGGTGAATAAGCTGTTTTTATGCATGCTCTGTACCATTGATTGTCTGTAGTGAACTGTGCACAGCACATGTCACCTGAGAAAAGTGAGAATAATTTTTCTTTTTAGAAAGGATGTATGTCTGACCAGGATACCAGAAATTTTACAGGACATTCATCATGTTGCCTTTTAATAATTTTTAACCATTTGCACCTGAACTACCGTAACCCTCTTTGCGAATCCACCTCTCTTCAACGGTCTACCGCATGTGACAACATCATGCTTAACGGTCAAGGACAAATTTGTCAGCTAATTTGTGCAGGGTACAAGGGCACCCAACGACAATTTTCCGAAAATTATCTGTTCGGAAGACGATTTCAGATCTAGAATTTTCGGATCATTTTTTGTAAGATTTGTTGCTTGCCTGCCTCTCCTAGGATTTTCGAACATCTAAAAAATTGTTATAATCGCCCATTTTGAACGGAACGAAAGGTCACCTAGAGTTTTCGGAAGCCTTTTCGAAAAGGTAAGGTTTGATCCCTATAATTTTCGTATCACTAGACTCTCAGCTAGGAAATCCGAACAGATGAAAAATTTTTAGGGGATAAAAATATGCCTTTATCTACCGTTTAAATACTAAAATACGTTCAAAAATGCCACGTTTACGTGGTTTTGAACTACATTCTCGTTGGATGCCCCGAGGGTAAAGGGATCTTTCAAACCATACCAGAATGAGTATGATTCAGTCAAGAAGGCCGGAAAATGAGGAAAGAAAAAGTGAAGACTGCATAGTCACTTTTAAACCCCAAAAAGGAGAAAAAAGGTCAGAAATATGTCTA